TGGGCCCACCAACCAAGACCACAGAGTATCATTCTCTTCTATATTAGTAGGTGGAGGTCAAGCTCCCTGATGCCACAGTGTTGTAACTATCAATTTAGCCTGTAAAGAATGGTTCCCAATTCTGATAGGAATTCTCAGATTTCAGCCTGTTTTTCTCTCATCATTATTTTCCAATGTCTTAAAAAACCACATTTCTCATTTTCTCTTTACCACAAAACCTGGTCACACTCTGCTGTGGTTTCTAAGTTACAGCTACTCTAGCCTCATTTTCTTGGATGTACTTCTTCACAGAGGTCTTGACCTGGTGCTGACACTTGGTCTATTCTTAGAGCAGCACCACTAAATATTAATTCCTTTTACCTTCCACTAGTTGAAAGACAATATTCAGAGGTAGAGGTTGCATACGACATAAAAGAAAATCCTCTGGGATTTAGAATCTTTCTTTCAAGAGTGTCCAGAGGAATATGATCTAAAGAGCTCAGTCTTGCAGACACACATGCACAGTACAGCTTAGCTACTCATGTTTTACAGCTTATCCAGATTTGCTGGAACAATCACAGATTTGTTGGAAAACACCAACAACCAAGGAGTGACAGCACAAGTGAGAGGGCAAGCAGACCCAGAAGAGAAAATCAACAGAAAAGCCTTCCACAAACAAGAGTACTTTTATCATTGTTTAAAAGTAAATCATCCATCACTAAATGTAGAAAAATCTTGCCCCAGCCAGTGTGGTTCTGTCAGGTGGAGCGTCATCCCATGCACTGAAAGGTCAAGGGTTCAATTCCCAGTCAGGTCACATACCCAGGTTGTGGGTTTGGGGCACATACAGGAGACAACCGATCAATGTTTCTCTTTCTCTCCCTCTTCCTCTCCCTTTCTCTCTCTCTAGAATAAATGAAAAACATATCCTTGGGTGAGAATTTTTAAAAAGAAGTATGAAAATCTCAATGTGTGAACTTGAAACTGAGAGATGGAAGTGTTCAGTTAACATATTTTTAAAAAATGTTTCCTATTGTTTAGAGCCAGCTCCACTTGTATCCCCCAAGAGGCCAATACTAAATATTAAAATGGCAATGAACTGAAGTCACCAGACAAGACTATGTAATAATTCATAAGGGAAAATGGAAAGAATTTGGAAAGTATAGCTAGAAGAGCCCTCAAAATATTGTCTGGTTAGGCCTCCAGGACATTAGGCAGTATAGTGACTTGGAGGCAGTAGAGAATAGTGCTTTTGTAATATTCCAGAGAAGGCTTGATTCCTAACTCTGTCACTTATTAGCTTGTGAATTTAAAGAAGCTATTTTAACCTTCCTGAGTCTATTTCCTCATCTATAAAACAGAGATAATAATAGTACCTACTTCAAAGAATTATAGTGGCTGAGACATAGTATGAGTTTAATAAAAAATTGTTTATTATAAAATATAATTATTATTTTATTATTGGCAGATAAGACTTTATTATACCCATTTCACAGATAAAGTAACTGAAGCTCAGAAAACTTTGGAAATTTGCCCAAGATTACAGAACTAGGACTTATAAGAATCAGGATCTCTGCCTTCTAGGGCATTGTTCTTTTTACCTCATTATGTTTCTATGAATCAACACAAAAAGGAGGCCTAAGAAAGAAGGCTTTTCACTAGATAAACAAAATTCACAAATCAAAGTAAAATCAGTAGCCTTTACTGATCCCGGTCTTATCCATAAAATACTACTTCCTATTCCATCAGACATCCAGATCTTTCAAGCTGTTTTTTTTTAAAGGATTTTGGAGCTTTGATGCTAGTTCAATTCCCAAAATAACTTGTCTCTGGCCAATATGGTATCTTAGAGTTACAGAAGTGTCAAAGTAAGTAACATTCACATACATTATATAATTTTAGTTTCCCAAAGACAAGAAACAGATCACTCAGCAACTAGATTTCTATCAGCGCTGTGGAAAATCTTAAGTTTTTCAACAGTGTATTGGTAGATAAAAGCTACAGTCGATAGCATTCTGAAGGTCATAAGTTTTACCACTGACTCTCAAGAGTTCAGTATCAGTTACACAGACCAGTGGGGTTCACTTTTGAGTGCTATACACATAGCATACAGCTTCTTAGATGGAAAATATAGAGCTTTAGCAAAAAGAATCAACAACAAAAAGAGGAAAACAAGAGATATCCTTTATTATTAACAAGATCAAGAGTTAAAGTATGTAACAACTTAAAACATAGATACAGCTGTTGATTCAACATTTTAAATAGGTTTCATCTTTATTGTTGAAAGTATTATAGATGCCCCCCCCCC